AATCTAGTCTAGCGTACGGAGAGGACCTCAGTTGGCGGACAGCAACTGCACTGACATCAGTTGCTTAGTCTTACGTCGCCCTTCCAAGGAATCTTAGAAAGGCGCCGCGTAACAAATCACATGCTAGGGGTTTCAAACACAATTTCCAATTTACTATTTTACCCTTCAACCCGTGGGCCCCACCCCACCTCCTTAACGACCTAACCACTGCCGTTAATTTTTACCCGTTAGCATCCTCTCTTTCACTCCTTCAAAATCATATAGTATAACAGAAAATCAGATATATAATCTTTTTCTATTCTCCAACTGTTAACAATAATAGCAATTTTTACCTAACAGAGCAAAAGTAAAATGAAAAGGACAGTAAAAGTTCCCCAATTTATTAAAGAAAAAGGGGGGCATATATTCGATTTTTAAAGTCAGAAGCAACAATGGGTCATAATCAGTTAACTGACCCACTTGCTACTCTTAGTATTATTAAAAGCTGCTTCCTTTTCTTGTCCTTCTTCTGCACAATCTGTCAATGGAAGCTTTGATCTTCAAGATCAGGCTTCTTATTCTTGCTTGGTTCCATTTCAGATCTCATTCAGGTAACCCCAGCTGGCCCAAATTATGTGAAATTTGCATTTCTTCAATTTTAGCTTTAGTTGGTTTAGTAAAATTGTGCTGTGGTAGTTCTTGCGTCTAAGATTATGTGTAATTGTGTGGTAGTTTATTGAAAATTTTGTTTTATAATTACCCTGAAGTTAATATTTGAAGTGGGTTTTCAGTAAAGTTGTAATTTTATGAATTGATAGTGAGTGATCTTGACTTGTCATTTTCTGCTGAGTAGAGGTGTTTCAGCTGCAGTTTTGTTATGAACTTGAATTTGAAATTGATGTGAATTAAAGAAAATTGTAACTTTGTGAATTATAAAGATTTTGACTTGTCTTTTTATGCTGACTGGAGAAGTGTGGATAGTGGCATTGTTAGTGATTTTTATTTGTACTTTTTTTCTTATTTTGGCATTGGCAATTGGTGATAGAAAGAAGCTAAAAGGAGGAAAAACAAGAACAAAAAGAAAAAAATTAGAAAGTTTTACTTGACTGTTTGAACTTTGAACTAAAAGACATTTATATTTCAACTAATATTAGAAAGTTTTTTATAGTGTCTACTGCTAGATATAAAGTTAGCATTGAAAATCATGGGATTTTTTGTTTATGAATTTTAATCAATTTTCAGGTTCAATATCCTTGGTGAAACATTTTTCTTATAAAGATATAAAGAAAGCAACTGATGGTTTTAGGAGAGTTGTTTATATCTCTTCCAAAAGAGTTGCTTACAGAGCCAAATTTCGAAATGGCCATGCTGCGATAGTAAAAGAAGTCCGAGCTGCTGAAGATCAGGATGATACTGCCTTCTATAGGGAGGTACAGTTACTCGGTCGTTTGCATCATCGGCATATTGCTGCACTTAGTGGGTTCTCTAGTGGCCCTAAGAGGTTAATTCCTAAGCTTTGGCTTGACGGAGATTTTTAATTGTGGAAGGGTCCTATGTCTTGTTGATTATTAAGCTAACTATGAGATAGAGTGGGCGAAGGGACTAGTTGATTGTTTCTTGATCATATTACCTATTAGAATATAATACTGTGCTATTGCACATTCTAAAACCAGATTATTAGCTCTTTTTCCTATCTGGCACAAAGTAAAAAATATCCATCATATTTTCTGAACATCTAGGTCTACTGCTGGATGGTAGCCATCGTATTTCTCTCAAGAAATGCCTTATTACTTTCAAATACTTAGCTGTAATTTGGGAGCACCCATATTTGGAAAATTTGTTCTTTATTACTGTGTTTATTCCTGAATTGCATGACATTCTGCCCCTTGATATGCACGGCATCTCAATTTTTTTCTGAAGCTCTTTGTAGTTTCTGCTATGTTCTGTTTTCCCTGGTCTCCTATAAGTTGAAATATTTAAGCCTGAAGCCTTTATTTGCTGTGATAGTGCTTCATTTTAAACAGTTTTTTTACTAACCTCTATGAATGTTTTTTATAAGTAACCGCCAGATAGAACTTTTCAATGCTTTGCATTGTAATGTTCCAAATGGAACACGTATCCCATATTTACTTTTCTAGTTTGTTGAATTGTACTAACCACCATACAGTTAGAGACGAGAAACTTTAATATTTTCTTATACATCTGCAACATGCTCCTCACGTGCAAACCTGCTTTTCTTTATTATGCCAAGAACATGAAAGTATTCCTTTATGGTTCTGATGAGAGTCTGATCTAGGATTTCTGATCTGACAATATCATGCTGAATCGTTTGTGTAGAACGTCTTGTTAGAGAAAGTACAGTGCTATTTCCAAAGTAAATGAAAGTATCTCGTTGATGGTTCTGATGGGAGTCTGACCTAGGATTTCTGCCTTTCTGCCTGATCTGATAATATCATGTGATCGTATAATACAGATATTGCATATAATTTAGCCACATCCTTTCACATAATACAACTAAAATAAATATCGTCAGAGAGCTTTATTGCTGAATTGCAGTGGATATTCTTTACTTCCTACAGTTTCTGAGTGCAGAGTTTCCTTTTTTCTTTCTTTTCATTTGTTGCCTTTTTCGGTTTTCTTTTCTTTTATTCTTTTGGCTTGTTGCCCACTCTTTGATAGCAGGTCTTGTCTACTTTCAGGTTTCTAGTCTTTGAAGATATGGAAAAAGGAAGTCTGAAGGAGGAACACCTCTCTGGTAAGTTTTTAAGGAAGTATTCAATTTTTTTTCTTTTCTTTTTTCTTCTGCCATTTCGTGTTGAGTTTCATGGATGCGCCTCTGACTAAATGTGGTCCTTGCAGATCCTCTGAAGACTCCATTAAACTGGAGAATACGGTTGCAGATCGCCGTTGGCATTGCTGCTGCTGTGGTATGTTCCTGAAGCTGCATATCTTGTACTTATGTTGAATATTTCTGGTGGCGGAAACGTAAAAGAAAGAACCACAAGATTTAACGTGGTTCGAATCAAAATAATCCTACGTCCACCAGAGAACAGTTGCCCTTTTAATATTAACAAAGGAAGGGGAGATTTCCCAATTACACTTAAGAGAATTTCTTTCTTAGCTCTCTACTCACTACAATGTATTGTATTATTTTTTTGGGATGATTTCTACAAATGAAGGAGTGCATCTATTTATAGAGGTAAAGACCTCCTCTTGATGTCATTGGTGACATCAAACTACCTCCTCTTGATGTCATGGGTGACATCAAAGGAGGAAGCTTCCTCCTAGCATCCACACCAACTCTTTCCACCAACTCTTCCAATTGGCATGCCATTGTTGACTAAACATAAACCAACACTTTCAATCTCCACCTTGGTTTGCGTTTCGAGCGTGTGTGTGAACAACTTTGGCAAAAACTTCTAAGCTTACTGGGCAACTCCGTTGTAAGAAACAAGAAGAATCAAACCATTGTTGAACATACCACCTCCACCTAACAACTGTTCTCTTCGGAGTTGCATCAGTTGATGCACACCCCCGCCAAGTCCTTGCAGTGTGCAAACTTAGCGAGCGGGACTATCTTGGTCAACATGTCTGCAGCATTATCGTCTGTGATAACCTTCACGACCTTGATAGTTCCCTCTTCAACAACATCTCGAATAAAATGACATCTGATATCAATGTGTTTAGTGCGCTCATGAAATCTCTGATTTTTCATTAGCTGAATAACACTCCAACTATCACATCTAAGAGTTGATTCCAGTTTAACCAAACTCAATTCCGCTACTAAACCTTTCAACCAGATAGCTTCCTTCACCGCCTCCGCT